TTTTTTTAATCCAATTTTTGAGCTAGAATGCTTTTCTTCGAACTCGATCTGTCTTTTTATGATACAAAACGACCCTGAAAATCCCAGGTCGCCAGCTCAATTCGTTCTCGAGTTATCGTGATGACAGACAGACACACACACACACAGACTGACAGACGGACAGACAGACAGACGCGAAACTTTTTGATCATCACTGGAGTAATAGGCTTCGCTAATCGCTCAGCCAATAATGTTTACACACAGAGCTTTCAATTGAACCTCTACTATCAATGTGGTGAGACCAGAAGTATTTTTAAACTTGCATTGGAAAAGTTTTTTAAAAAATGAAAATTTGACTTAAACTTTTTTGGCTGAGCGATTAGCGAAGCCTATTACTCCACTGACCCGAAAAGTTTCATTCTGTTTGTTTGTGTGTTTGTGTGTCTGTCTGTCCGCACGATAACTCGAGAATGAATTGAGATAGCGATTTTGGAATTTCAGGGTTGTTTTGTATCATAAAAAGACAGATCGAGTTCGAAGATGAGCATTCTAGCTCAGAAATTGGCTTTGTAAAAAATCAAAAACTACAGGTCGCAAAATGTATTTATATCAAATTTTTTTTTATGGTTTCTTTAAGAGGTAAACCGTCAAAGTAAAGCCCTCTGAACGAAAATTTCGTCCGTTTGGCTCTATCTTGTACCGTTTAGGTGCTAGGGGGCACTTCTTGACTAAAATGATCAAACGGTCGATTAAATCGTTAAAAAGACTTAATTTCGAAAAATTGTATGTACACTCCCATTATCCCGTCTCGGGTGTCAGCGCCGCAGGCCTAGCTATATGAGCGCCAGGCGCGTCGCATTGTAACGGTGTTTCGTGAGATATCGCGAAGCCTGTTACGCGAGACGTGGTCTGGCGTACATATAGCTAGTTTTTTGAAAGTGTTGTAGTGTTCCAATCTTAAAAGTAGAGGTTCACTGTGAGGACCTTATGCTTAACTAAGTCCTCAAAAAATTTGAAGTGAATCTAACTAACCGTTCTCCTGGAATCATGCGCGCAAGGTCTAAAAACAATGTTTCGAGAAAAACCAGATTTAAAGTTATTACATAAAGTATGTTTATCACCTGTTTGGTTCATGAATGGTCGATTGGAGTGCATGATTAATTTTGATTTACGTGTTCTTTAACCTTCCTTCTAATAAGCCAAGCCACTCTTACTTCCTGGTGGCTTCTTTACCCCGTCTTAGAGTCTGTAGTACTCTGATGTCATCTTCGGATAGACCCCAATCAAGGGCAGCTGTTCCCCCGCTCCCCAGAGATCTTTTCAGAGCTAATATTTTTCATTGCCAGCTAACATTGAACTACAGAACACAATTTCTGAATGTGTTCTTGAAACCATATCTTGATTTTTAACAATACCATACACCTAACATAATAACATACTAGAATGTTCGTCTTATAGTTTACACAACTAATACTGGAAGTCATATTGACATGTCCCAAACTAACCAAACCAGTACTCGTGTTTTGCCTGCATCGACTTGTTGAAGTGACATTGAGTTTGGTTATAACCATATATAATTATAAATCGAGTTCGAAGATGAGCATTCTGGCTCAAAAATTGACTTTTAAAAAAATCAAAAACCACAGGTCGCAAAATATTATTTTTTTCAAATATTTTTTTATGGGCTCCTCAGCGGGAACTCGTGAAAGTAGAACCCTTTGGGCGAAAATTTCGTCCGTTTTGCTCTATCTTGTACCGTTTTGACGCTATGGCGCATTCCTTGGCGAAAACAACGTCAAAAGGCAAAATGGTCTATTAAATCGTAAAAAAGGCTACATGTCACAGAATTGTAAAGGGAGTAATACTTAGACCACACGTTGCGGGTCGAACCACACCCTCTTTTGGGCTTAAGGGTCCCTAGATTATCTTCTACCACTAAAACGTTGATTTTTACATAACAATCTGACAAAATTCGATTTTTTAATGAAAACCGTTACCGAACAGCAGAAGTTCCATGTCCCTAATTTTAGAGTAAGAAGACCTCGACAAATGGTTCGAGTATGTCAAATTTTGGGCCCGGAAGACCCTGTTCCCCTTTACCCTCTCCTTCAAACTCGTCTCGGGTGTCAGCGCCGCAGGCCTAGCTATATGTGCGCCAAGCGCGTCGCAGCGTAACAGTGTTTCGGGAGATACGGCGAAGCGTGTTACGCGAGACGTGGTCTGGCGTATAAATAGCTAGTTTTCCTTAACTTAATCTTGATTTGGCAGTCCGTCTACTGCAAGCTTGCAATTTCCCCCCCAGAGACATGTCATCACTGCGCGCACACTTTTTAGACTAGCTACATGTACGCCAGACCACGTCTCGCGTAACAGGCTTCGCGATATCTCACGAAACACTGTTACGCTGCGACGCGCCTCGAGCACATACAGCTAGGCCTGCGGCGCTGACACCCAAAACGTGTTACTAGGAGTGTATACACAATTTTTTGATATAAAGCCTTTTCTACGGTTTAATGGACTATTTCGTCATTTTCACCACATTTTTGTCCAGAGATGCCCCCTTGCACCCAAACGGTACAAGATAGAGAAATACGGACGAAATTTTTGTCCGTAGGGTTCTACTTTGACGAGTTACCCCTTAGAAGCCCATAAAAAAATAGTTGGAAAAACAAATATTTTGCAAGCTTTGGTTTTCGATTTTTTTAAAAGTCAATTTTTGAGCTACAATGCTCATCTTCGAACTCGATCTGTCTTTTTGTGATACAAAAAGACCCTGAAATTCCCAGATTGCTATCTCAATTCGTTCTCGAGTTATCGACAGACAAACAAACAAACAGAATGAAACTTTTCCGGTCACTGGAGTAATGGGCTTCGCTAATCGCTCTGCCAAAACCCGTTGAAAACTTTCAACTTCTCATTATTTCTAGACCAGGTAGATGTACGCCAGACCACGTCTCGCGGAACAGGCTTCGCGATATCTCACGAAACACTGTTGCGCTGCGACGCGCCTGGCATACACCTACCTGGGCCTGCGGCGCTGGCACCCGAGTCAGGTAGCGCCAAAATGTACACAAAGACACAGGCCTCCGGCCCGTTAACTTCCCGTCACTTTGACGAAGCATGCAGGGTTGTACATTTTTACGCTTATTTTCGTCAAATACTTCATGTGGCGCCTAAATGGTTCAAGATAGAGCCAAACAAACGAAATTT